GATCCGTGATGTGTGTGTAGCAACAGGGGAACATGAGGCTCCTTGCTTTCATGGATGGAAAGATCAGGAAGACTTGTAGGGGTCCATCTCAGAATTTAGGAATTTAACGTTTAGTTGTATCAAAATGCAGATGCTGTTAACATGCAGATGCTGATGCAAGGAGATCAGGGTGGATGCTGAGTCTCTGCACTTCTAACCAGCAAGTATAAAAGGGCTTCTTGCCCCACGCGTGACCCATTCCCTCCTCCCCCACCCCATTTCTTCCCTTTAGCTGAGACCCTTGGTGCCGAACCAGACCTTTCAGACTCCTTGCAATGCAACTGGCAAACAGATAAGCTGCACGGGGCAGCTTGTGAAACAGATGAGAGGGAAGTTCCCAGAGGCTTCAAAGAGCCCCTGCTCTCCCACCAGCTGCCTTCCACCTCTCCCCACCCCACCCAGGATTGGCAAATTCCCTCCGAAACCAGATAACAGCTCAGCTCTAGATGCACAGTCTCTTCCGAGATTTGCTTCAATAGAGCAACTTGTCTCTGCTGAGCTCGCTCTCTGTGTCCTTTTTCCATCTCCTTTCTGAGGTTAGGAAAGGCCAGACCCCCGAGCTATTCCAAACCCAACTGAGCACACCTCTGAAGACGATGTCTCAGCTCCAGGGCCACACATTATAATATAAGAAAGTAGGACTGAGGGAGGTCCCAGACAAGATCAGCACACCTGAAAAGAATGCTTTATTGCTATGTAAGAGCCAGCATTCAGAATAATATGACATCCACACATTTCACTTCTCAGTTTCCAATCATGAGAGAAAACGTGTACACACACACACTTGCTATCAAGAAATAGTATGTGCTTGTATGATGCTTGCATAATGGGAGAATAAGGCCAAATTGTTACATTTAGGTGTGCTCATTGAACCCTTTTTTATACTTAGTGTATTATTTGAAATATTTTAAAATCAGGGCCGGCGCTATGGCATCCTGGGTAAAGCCGCCACCTGCAGTGGCATCAGTTCCAGTCCACATGGAAAACCTGGAAGAAGCTCCTGGCTCCAGGCTTTGTTTCGGCTCAGCTCTGGCTGTTGTGGCCATTTGGGGAGTGAACCAGGGGATGAAAGATCTCTCTCTCTCTCTCTCTCTCTTTCTGTAACTCTGCCTTTCAAATAAATAAATCTTTAAAAAATTAACAAAAGATAAAAAGACAAGAAAATTGTGGGTTTGGAATTGAAAAAAAATGCTATGGAATCTATAATCTCTGATGGAAAGCCGGAATCACAGCAGCAATGGTTTGGATGTCCGTGTTGTAGATGCCCTCCTACCAGATTTTCATTATTAATGCACACAAGGGAAGACGGACAGCGAGGAGAGCAAGAACACTGTCATCCGCATTTATGAGCCTATCTTAGCAGGCATTCAGTGAAAGCCGAGCCTGCGTTGATCTGATCTAGGATTTATAGAAGAGAAACATCCAGGCCAATGCACAGAGCAAACCGTGAAAGAATGTTCGAAGGAGTTCCATACCTGAGAAGAATGATAGAGGCAAGTTAGGAAGGCAGCCCACACAGTTGATCAAATAACTTTCACCTTTGATGAGCACACACATAAAAACAACATGTACTTACTCACATACAAATGATGCAGAATAGTTTCCTGTCAATACAACTAGGAAATTGTTTTTCCAAATGTATTTCCTTCACCATACTTTCTAGAAAAACATTTTGTAAAATTTGTATTAGGAGCCGGCACCGGGGCATAGTAGGTTAACCCTCTGCCTGTGGTGCTGGCATCCCATATGGGAGCTGATTCGAGTCTCAGCTGCTCCACTTCAGTCTAGCTCCCCGCTAATATGTCTGGGAAAGCAGTGGAAGATGGCCAAGGGCTTGGGCCCCTGCATCCACATGGGAGACCTGAATGGAGCTCCTGGCTCCTGACTTCAGACCGGTCTTTTGGGAAGTGAACCAGCAGATGGAAGATCTTTCTCTCTGTCTCTTCCTCTCCCTGTAACCATAACTCCAAAATAAATCTTTTTGAAAATTGTATTACTATTAATATATATATTTAAGAGACAATGTAACACTGCAATGCAGGTTTACAGTGTGCAGGGGTCAAATAAGGTAACCTACATTTCCCTCTCTATTGTTCCTGCAGTCATCCCACTGTGCTGCCCACTAAGAGCTCACTCCTGCCACCTGCAATTTGGTCCCTGTCATCAAAGCTCTCTCAGCATTTTTAACTGTGTGAAAAGGACAGATTCCAGAGGATGATTTGGGGTTCTTTACAACACAGCGTGGAGACGAGCACACATGGTAGAAAATCAGAGCTATTGCCTCCAAGTTTGATGTATTCTCTTCCATTTATCATTGTCTTCCATTTATCATCTGTGCCTGTGTTATATCTTACAATATAAAGACACCTGGGCACACCCTGATTACCTGGTTCTTGTTTCTTGTTTTCGAAATAGCAGGATGAGGAGCTCACCTGTGACCAGAGCACAGTGAAATGCAAACCCGAGCAAGAGGTCACAGTGTTTCAGCCCCTCCCAACTGTGGCAGCTGATAGGCAGCAAAGATGAGAGCCTTCATCCCCCAAGGCAAGCTATGAGCAAAGAGAACCTAAAAAGGCAAAACTCGCACTATAGGTTGTGATGTATACACATCACTAAGTCAGTCACCCCAAGATATGCTTTCATTGTATGCAGAAAAATGTCCCTCTTGGAGGAAGCGGGCAGAGTCCTAGACCAGGTGACTGAAGCTAATGTCAGCTGTCCCAGCACAAATCAGTGGCAGGTGCTGATGCACATCCCCTTGCTGTGATACTGTGGACCAAAAGCAGGTAAAGCTTAATCTGAATCGAATCGTGGAAGACGTAGGTTCTATACAAGCTTTGAAACACACCTCTCCCAGGTTCTGTAGTCTCAAAATATATTTTTAAGATGTATTTATTTGAAAGAGTTACACAGAGAGAGAAGGAGAGGCAGAGAGAGACAGAGAGAGGTCTTCCATCTACTGTTTCACTCCCCGTTGGCCAGAATGGCTGGAGCTGGGCCAATCTGAAGCCAGGAGCCAGGAGCTTCTTCCAGGTCTCCCACATCTCCCACATGGGTGCAGGGGCCTAAGGTCTTGGGCCATCTTCGACGGTTTTCCCAGGCCATAGCAGAGAGCTGGATCGGAAGTGGAGCAGCCGGGACTCGAACTGGCTTCCCTATGGGATGCAGGCACTGCAGGCAGTGGCTTTACCCACTATGCCACAGCAATGGACCCTTGAACAGAGAATATTGAGTCTGTCTGTAGCATCCCAGGGAGCAGGTCTCTTCTGATTCCCTTACAGAGTTTCTGAGTTATCCTTGGTGAGGAATCCCATCTTCTTCCAGTGTGCATTTCTGCACAGATCTGTGGAGCACACAGATGGAGCCTGAACACTACACAATCATCATCTACACTGATATCCAGGACCTGACCTCAGCCCTGATAGGAGTCAGGTATCCCCTCTTTCCCATGGTCATCTACCATGAAGGGACGATTTTCAACATCACAGGTCATCAACTCATGGTGAGAACTGTTCATGGGAAAGAGAAAGTTAGAGAAAGAGAAAGAGAAAGAGAAAGAGAAAGAGAAAGAGAAAGAGAAAGAGAAAGAGAAAGAGAAAGAGAAAGAGAGAAAGAGAAAGAGAGAAAGAGAAAGAGAAAGAGAAAGAGAAAGAGAAAGAGAAAGAGAAAGAGAAAGAGAAAGAGAAAGAGAAAGAGAAAGAGAAAGAGAAAGAGAAAGAGAATGAAAAGAAAGAGAAAAAGCCAGGAGGAAGAGAAGGTTCTGGAATATAGGAGAGAAGTATTTGAAAGAGCTCACCTGACAGTCACAGAAGAAAAGGGAAAACTCATCTTTGAAGCGCACTCAGAAGGCAGGAATGTGAGAAGTGATGTTTGCAACAGCAAAATGCGAGGCCTTTGAGGAAGAAAAGAGGGCGCAGACTCTGACCTGGGCCACAGGGACCTGACATGCGGCCATTTCTTCTGTCTCCAGTTCTCTCTGCCAAGATGCCCTCCAGCTGTCCCGCTGCCTTTCATGGTGTCAGCACACCCACAGGCAGAAGGATTCTGAAGGGGAACAAAGGCCACCCTCCCCTGTGCCTTGGCGCTGTAGAAATTCAGGAACAGGTGCTCCTACACCGAGAACAAAATTGTAGTTCCTCCTCTCCTGCCTGCAGGTGCCGGCCTCTACCGTAAACAGCATCTGCCCCCACAGTGGGGATCTGGACGGTGCTGACCCACTCCCAGCCACCCATGCAGGGGGGAGTCGGTGCACCGAGAACCCTCATGTGTGACCCTGAGTAGGACCCGGGCACTGCATGAAGACAGCACCGAGGCTCCCACCCAGGTCAGTGCAGTAGAGGCTGTGGGAGAAGCCGCGGGTGAGCGCTTCTCTCAGACCTGGCCCTGTGATCCCGCTGGGCAGTCTTGGTCCAGAACCACTCGGCTAATGGCTGCCTCTCAAGCCTCGCCTGCACACAAGTGCTGCGGGCCCTGTTCTAGGAAGTTGGGATCCTGCAGGCTTGGCGGGGCCCTGTCAGTGCCCAGCGTGGGGTCGCCTACACCCATTACCAGCAGCACTGAGCTAGAGAAAGCAGGAGCAACACACCCGAGCCCCTGAGACCCAACTCTCTTCACACACACACACACACACACACACACAGATTCTTTTCAAGCATTTTCTTTGTGTTTTCCATACTTTGTGAAACGTTTTAAAAATGCGACTAACTGTAATGCTGGATATTTCTGGGGCCCAGTGAGACTTTTCAATACCTTACATGTACTTGGATCACATCAGGAAACCCACGCTCCTGTCCCTCTGCCACTGCTCTATGGTGGAGTCTTGGATGGCTTCTCTTCTATCTGTGTAGGTGCCTGTGACCTGAACTCACGGCCACGCTCTAGGTAGCACTAGGTCTTGAGGGCTTCTCTCTGTGATTTTAAAACTCTGATAGCCATCCTGAAAGCTGCATTATTGCTGACCCGGTCACAGTTACAGGACACAGAAGGCGGCAGCAGTGTCTGAATCAGCCTGCCGCTGGAAGGCAGCGTGTGCACGTGCACGAACGCAGTGCTTGCTGAGCTGCATACGTATACTCACAAGTGTGAGAGCGCCGTGCTGGGACAGCATCAGCCCCAGGAACTCTAGGTGGGCAGAGCTTAAAGTCAAAGCTCCCAGGTACATAGGCCTCTCCTCCATGCTGTGCTGGATCCTGAACATGTTCATAAACACCATTATCCCCATCTATGTGACTAGTAAGTGGATCAACACAAGCATCACAAAGAGAAAAGACTATGGGTACTGTAACGCTGTCTTCCAAGACACCTTCACAGGCTCGCTCTTCTTGGCACTACTATTGTTGCCTGATGCTGTGTCCTTGGGGCTCATGCTCCTGGCCAGCAGCTCCATGGTGTTCATCCTGCACAGACACAAGCAGCAGGTGCAGCACATTCATGGTCCCAGGAATGCTTCCCCCAGGACTTCCCCTGAATCCAGAGCTACTCGGAGCATCCTTGCTCTGGTGAGCACATTTGTATTTTTTTACGTGGTCTCCTCCACTTTCCAAGTGTATTTGGCTCTTCTTTGTAAGCCCAGTCAATTGACAGTGAACATCTCTGCATTATTTGCTGGCTGTTTCCCAACTCTTAGCCCCTATCTTCTCATGAGCTGTGACTCCAGGGTACCCAGGCTCTGCTTTGCCTGGATAAGGAATACAAAATCCCCCAACATTATCAGAAACATGTGCCTTGTATTTGTTTTATAATACTCACTTGTTGTCCAATAGTATAGGCACAGTTATTTGGTAGCCATATTACAAGACCCTGTACTCATGCTTACACACATGTGTGTATGTATATAGGGTGTAATACACACTATTAGATTACATTTGTTATCAAGCAATCATAGTAGGATAATATATACTTAGAAATATAAAAATATTAGTCACAATAATAAACTGCTTTAAATCTACAGCCTCTTTTATTTGATATTTATGCAGTCATTAATTAATTGAATAAGTCACATGAAATTGATTTTTCATTTTTCTACTTTAAGCCTTATATTTTAGGTATATATTTACAACTATAAGTATAGTCAAACAATGTTTAACAGGAATAGTCTCCTTGTTTTAAAATAACACCTGATATAATTGAGATTGGATTTCTCTAATTACTGTGTGCACCTCTTGCCATTTGTTCAGTATTCTTGTTCTTTCTGCCTTAACTTTTTCTTTTTTAAAGATTTATTTACCTATTTGACAGGCAGAGTTACAGAGAGAGAGGGATCTTCCATGCACTCCCAATGGCTGCAACAGCTGGGGCTGGACCAGTCCATAGCCAGGAGGTTGGAACTCCATCCGGGTCTCCCACGTGGGTGCAGGGGCCCAAGCATTTGGACCATCTTCTGCTGCTTTCCCAAGCACCTTACTCAGGAACTGGATAGGAAGTGGAGCAGCTGGGACTCAAACCAGTGCTCACATGAGATGTCAGCATTGAATATGGTGGCATAACCCTGCTGAGCCACAATGCTGGCCCTGACATAGGGCCTTGATTGGAAGTTAAAATGGTCAGTTTTGGGGCCAGCGCTGTGGCTTAGTAGAGAAAGCTGCCTGCTGCAGTGCGGGCATCCCATCTGGGCACCGGATCAAGTCCTGGCTGCTCCACTTCCAATCCAGCTCTCTGCTATGGCCTGGGAAAGCAGAGGAAGATGGCTCAAGTTCTTGGGTCCCTGCCACCCACATGGGAATACCCGAAGGAATCTCCTGGCTCCTGGCTTCAAATTGGTGCAGCTCCAGACATTACAGCCATCTGAGGAGTGAACAAGTGAATGAAGACCTCTCTCTCTCTCTCTCTCCTCTCTCGCTCTCGCTCTCTCTCTCTCTCTGCATCTCCTTCTCTGTGTAATTCTGAGGTTCAAATAAATAAATAAATCTTTTTAAAAATGAATAAAAAAACAAAATGGTCAGTTTTCTCTCTGAACTAATGAGATTATGAACTTATGATATTATGTTTATTATTTTCCTAAATATGCTTCTGACTGTTGGAAATTTGATCATAAAGGCATCCCTCTATTTTGTTAACTCTTTGTATTTTATTATTGTCACCACAGTTTTACTTATATTTCAGTATGGCTCGTAAAAGGAATTATCACTATTTACATGTGATAGTCAATTTTTTTTTTTTTGGACAGGCAGAGTGGACAGTGAGAGGGACAAAGAGAAAGGTCTTCCTTTTTGCGGTTGGTTCACCCTCCAATGGCTGCCGCAGCCAGTGCACTGCGGCCGGCGCACCGTGCTTATCCGATGGCAGGAACCAGGTACTTCTCCTGGTCTCCCATGGGGTGCAGGGCCCAAGCACTTGGGCCATCCTCCACTGCACTCCCGGGCCACAGCAGAGAGCTGGCCTGGAAGAGGGGCAACCGGAACAGAATCCAGCGCCCCGACCGGGACTAGAATCCGGTGTGCTGGCGCCGCAAGGCAGAGGATTAGCCTAGTGAGCCGCGGCGCTGGCCTAGTCCTTTTTTAATGACTTCCTCTATAGAATAAAAGAAACACCATCATCATAACATAGTGTTTTATAAAATTAGGAATAATATGCTATATACCTTTTTTAATTAAAGAAAAAGGTTTCAAGATGGCTTTGTGACATAGCAGATACAGCTGCCAACTGCAACATCAGCATTCCATATGGGTGCCAGTTCAGCTCCCAGCTGCTCCACTTCAGATCCACACCCTGCTAATGGCCTCAGAAAAGCAGTGTAAAATGGCCCAAGGATTTGGGCCTTTGCCACCCTGGCTTTTGGCTTTGGCCTGGCCCAACCCTGATTGTTGTGGCCATCGGGGGTGTACACCAGAGGATGGAAGTTAAGTAATTTTCCAAAGAATGTTGGGATGCATCACCATGGAGCGCCATGTGATATCTGAATTGCATAAAAAGGGGGCTGCATGTCAACATGATGCAGAATACTCCATCTGGAGAGCAAACTGGCATTGGGCAAGGGATAATTGATGAGAATACTTAATTAGCTTTATTCTAGTATCTTACAAATAAATGTGCTGTGAATTATCTATGGTGTTTCAACATTGCAATATATCCAAAAAAGTATTGGTGATGATTATTTCTTGCGATGTTTTCATGTAAGGAAGAAGGAACATGAAAGGAGGACTTCAGATGTAAAGCACGTTGGCCCAAGTGCTGCACCCACATAGGAGACCAGGGAGAAGCTCCTGGCCTCCTGGCTTTGGCCTGGCCCAGACCTAGCCATTGCAGCCATTTAGGGAATGAACCAGCAGATGGAAGATTCCCTTTCTCTCTCTCTCCCTCTCCCACTCTCTCTTTCTCTCTCTAACTATGCCTTTCAAATAAATAATCCTTTAAAAAAAAAAAGGCTCTTCAAAGCATATAAAATAAGGAAATCATTATTTGAAAAGCATACCAACAGACCCTGGGGACGTGATAGGAGCCGTGTTTATCTCCATCCCTGAGTGTTGGATACCAAAGAACAACCTCTCCTACCAGACACACCAGGGTGTCTCTGTACCTGGCAGCTCCTGGAATGCAGAAAAGGCCCCTGTCCACTCAGATCTTCCCATATAGAGATCCAGGGAATTGTGCTCCTCGGGAACCTGCCCCAGTCCTGATGCCCTCCATTCTCAGAAATGCTCACATATTCTGCTACAGTAGTGAGGATGTGTGCTGAGCTTTGGCTCCATACAGCACTGGGTACTTTCCCATTGACCAGAAGCTGGCTTTGGCCTTCAAAATGGTCCCAAGATCCTTGAACATGCTCTTTATTTCACGTTTGCCTGAGCATATTATTAAAACCAAATGCACGTTCAGATCCACCTCAGAGATTCCGTGGTTGGATTTAAGAGTCTCAGGGAGCTGTGCTTGCTGTCTCCAGCTTAGTACAGCTGATGGGCAGGTCTGGAGGAACAGCATTTCCTTATAGACATAATTTATTTTATTTGAGAGACAAAGAGAGAGCTCCCAAAATACCCACAACAGCTGAGGCTGGGCTGAGCTAAAGCCATGAGCTGGGAACCCAATCCTGGTCTCCCACTAGGGTGGCAGAGACCCAACTCTTCAGCTCTCAGCTACTGCCTCCCGAGAGGCATGGTATCAGAGAGCTAGAATCGAGAGTAGAGCCAGGGCTTGAACCCAGGCACTCCCACATGGGATGAATGCAGGCTTGAACCCAGGCACTCCCACATGGGATGAGTGCAGTCTTGAACACAGGCACTCCCACAAGGAATGCATGCATCCCAAATAGCATCTTAACTGCTAAGCCAAGTTCCCATTTAGGTTGATTGACTTTTTTCTTTCAAATACTTTATAAGCACTTAAATATTCAAACTATTGGTTAATTCATATTAGCAAACAATCGCTTTCTGGATTAGAAATCTTGCTACTTACATGCCTATGAATTTTCAGGATAAATATACTGTTGAAATTCTATGTCTTCTTATATACAAAATGTGGAGAGTAGCAATAAAGTCAAAACTTATTTAGGATAGAAGTGACTGCAGGATGTATAAGAACTCCTTAGTGTTGCTAGTTTTGTTAATTTTTTTGCATCTACAGAGAATATTTTAATAGACTTTGACTTTTAATTAACAGAATAAAATAGAAACTGAGTGTGTGATTCAGTTTAGGAATATGTATTTTTATATAATTCATTACAATTAGATAATCAATATAATACACTACATGTATCCCAACTTAATTGGAAGTCTTCAGTAGGAACAAATTCAACACAGTCCTTTAGATGCAACTTCTTTTAGGTTGACAGCAACACTTTTTTTGTTATATTTTATGTCTTCTAAATTCCAATAAGTCTATCCAAAATCTCAAACATGTGGTTTCAAAGAGAAATTATGATGAACTGGGCATTTTTGTTCACATATATACAATGCAACAATGGACACATTTTTAAAATCAGTTTCATCCATGAAGTAAAGGGGAGTGGGTTTGTAATGATGGAGAGCAAACTCTAAAGCCAAGGAATGAAGTGTTTTCTCTCCTGCTGAATGGTTGAAGATCTTCCAACTTTCCTGAGGTGGTGGAACACTGCGCAGGATTCCTTCAGAGAAAGGATCCAAGCTGTCTCTAAGCTCCAGTTCAGCTTCCCCTCCCAAGGTAAGCATCTGGTAATTCTCTTGTATTTGTTACTATATAACAGTCTGCCATAAATTCATTAAGCCTGTGTTTCCGCAGATCTTCCTTTGCTTGTCTAAAATTATCTCTTTCATAAGTAATTTTGTCCAATTCTGCTACCCTTTACAAATATAATTCTTCCTTCTTTTTATATTCTGCAATGGTGCCAAGGTTTGGTTTCATTTCATGACACTGGGCTACCAAAAGTGAAATCTGACTTGTTATGGAATCTGTATTCTTGATTGCTTCAAAATCTTCTTAGCTCAAAACTGAAACTTCTTCAACAGGATTATCTTTCACAGGATACAATGATTTTTTTAAGATTTATTTATTTATTTGAAATTCACAGTTACACAGAGAGAGAAGGAGAGGCAGAGGTAGAGAAAAGTCTTCCATCCACTGGTTCTCTCCCCAGTTCGCCACAATGGCCAGAGCTGCACCAATCCGAAGCCAGGAGCCAGGAGCCAGGAGCTTCTTCCAGTCTCCCACATGGGTGCAGGGGCCCAAGGACTTGAGTGGTCTTCCATTGCCTTCCCAGGCCATAGCAGAGAGCTGGATCAGAAATGGAGCAGGCCAGTGCCACGGCTCACTAGACTAATCCTCTGCCTTGCCGCACCAGCACACCGGGTTCTAGTCCCGGTTGGGGCACCAGATTCTGTCCCAGTTCCCCCTCTTCCAGGCCAGCTCTCTGCTGAGGCCAGGGAGTGCAGTGGAGGATGGCCCAAGTACTTGGGCCCTGCACCCCATGGGAGACCAGGATAACTACCGGGCTCCTGCCATCGGAACAGAGCGATGCACCAGCCACAGTG